ACTATTTTCCAGGTTTCATATGTTATGTCACAAAACAAGTTTTAAAAAATTTACTAAGGTTGAAATCATATCAAGTATCTTTTTCAACCTAAAGGTATGAAACCAGAAATCAAAAACAGGAGGAATTGAAAAATGCAAAAAGTTGCAGAAATTAAGAAACACACTCCTGAACAACCACTGGGTCAAACAAGAAATCAAAAGGAAAATCATTAAATACCTTGAGATAAATGAAAATGGAACCTCTACATACCAAAACTTATGGTATGTAGCAAAAGCACTTTACTTCACATTTCCTAATAGAGAAGTTAATAATGAATGCCTAGAGTAGGGAAAAATAAAATGATCACGACAAACACTAAAATCTATATCTTAAGGAGCTAGAAAAAGAAAGCAAGCCCAAAGTTAGCAGAAGAAAAAGAATTATAAAGATTAGAGCAGAAATAAAATAGAGACTAAAAGAAACAATAAAAATACTTTTAACAAAACCAAGAGTTAGTTTTTGAGAGAGTAAAAAAACTGGCAAATCCTTTTGCTGGACTAACCAAGAAAAAAAAGAGATAGTACTTAAATAAATAAAATTATAAATGAAAGAAGAAGCATTGGACAGTGCCTGTGACTCAAAGAAGTCCAAGTGCCCATCGACTTATAATGGATCAATAAATTGTGGTATATGTACACTATGGAATATTATACAGCCTTTAAAATGATGGAGACTTTACGTCTTTCATGTTTACATGGATGGAGCTGGAACATACTCCTCTTAGCAAAGTATCTCAAGAATGGAAGAAAATGTATCCAATGTACTCAGCCCTACTATGAAACCAATTTATAGCTTTCATATTATAGCCTAAGAATATGGGAAGGGGGAGGGGAAGGGAGGGGCATGGATGTGTGGAGGGAGGGTGATTGGTGGGATCACCTCTATAGTTTATCTTCCAAGGGTACAAGTGGTTCTTTCTAAAAGTAGAATATAAATGTCTTAACACAATAACTAGGAAAATGACATGAAGGCTATGTTAACCAGTTTCAT